TTCCTTCTGAGCTTTCAGAATACGAGAAAAAATGTATACTATGTAATTAGAAACTTTTTAAATAAATGTCTATTTGATCCTGAGAAAGCAATGCCGTTATAAACAAATATTCCAAACCATTCTTTCATGTTTAATGGACTGAGAAATAATTGCATTTCCTCTCATCGTGATATGTCCACTGTAACACCCCCCTTCCCCGAAATGATCGAATGTTTTCCTTCAGACCGAGAATGCCAATTGGTAGGTTTGTTCAGGTACGTACAGGCCGGGGCTTGTTTTGAAACCCGAGAATAAAACATAACCTTTTATAATTTTAACCAATAATCAAATGTAACATTTAATTTATTCGCAGATCTTCAAATATAGAAAAACAAGGTCTGCAATGATTAATATCCGTGTCTAAACTTTCCTATTTATAAAATTTTTATAATTTCTTAATCTTGTGTCTATTAAAGTGTTTAATCAAGCATCGAATAGTAAACATGCACTACATGAATTGTATTAGTTTTTTGGGGGTTAGAGGAGGTACCGGTTTTCGCTGCATTTGATTTCCCGACTTTTGCATTGCATTTTCGAAAATTAATGATTTCATTTCTACACATTTATTATTTTCATTCTGAGTGTTTACACTACATTTCTAGCAATTAGAAGAAATCATAATTTTAATAGAAAATAGTTTGTGAGAGGCTAGCTGTAGATCTGTACCTCGCTAGCCTCTCACAAAAAATTGAAATAAATGAACAGTGAGCTACAGTGCCACCCATATTAAAAAGTACGATTATATGTTCTTTTTCGTACAAAAATATGCGCTTGGTTCTGAATTATTTTCTTTGAATTCTCACCTCCACTGCACAAAAGATGGATTTTCAAAATTTTCTTGAGACTTAAATCGAGTACTAGTACTTGACATATGCAAGAAGCTCATTGGACTAAATTATCTTGCCACCCAATATGGGAGAATAATTAGACGGTATTTTCGAAATCTCAATTTCAGACTCAGGAGGACTATTAAAAACGGTTGTAAGGACTGTTTTGTTGTAGAAAAAGTGAAGAAATGTTTTAGAGACACACGATAAGTACTATTTTTAGATTCCAGCAGTCGATGAAAGTCATGGATATTGTACATAGCTCCAGTGCATTTTTTGCTAAATAAATTTACATTTTTTTTCAATGGGTGACACTTTAGCTCTGGCAATATATCTACATTTCTGCAGCAAGTGAAAGGCTGGACATTTATACATGTGCGATGTACGTGGTACTGACGGACTTTGAGCATACACAGAAAATGAAAAATATCGCAGCCCAAAAAACAGTTCAAACAAGATAAATCACTAGCAGCGCAAATACATACCTTTTAAAATCAGAGGTGGAATCAGGTAAAATTGATCCTTTTTATGCCAGCACTTAACCTGTAACGAGGCCGTCGCGTTTACAGTGGCATAGATAGGGTCGATCTCCGCGTCTTGAATCCGCAACTTACATATAATGGATTTACTTGAACAATATGTATTTATAAGTCTAAGAAATCTCATGTAAGAGACTTAATTTGTATTCTAATATCTTAATTTTTTTTATAATTTGTATTTCCCTTTTTTATTTAAAATTACATTTTTTTTATGAATATTGTACTTCGAAGATAGCTAAATCATTGTATTGACTGAAAAAACTGCAATAATGTTTTTTTTTACTAGTATATGATACACTGATAAAATGATACAGCTCATTGTTTGAATTTAATTAGATCCTAGCCAAATACAAGAGAAAAGCAGAATTAAAATGTAAATAAACCTTACAATTGAAGTTTTTTTTTTAAAAAAATCAATTTTGGTAGCCATGAAAAATAACTATGTCAGTCTTTTTAATAGGATGATTTTTGAAGGTAAATACTGACAGCCAAAAAAAAGGGACAAACTCCTGGGTCCTTGCATCCCCTCTTACCACCCTCACCCGAAAATATATATTCGTTTATGTTTTGTTCATAAAAAAGTCATAGTCGCCTAAATACTGTAAGTGTTTTATATTTGGCGTTGTATTCTTTTTAGCACTTTTAGCGGAAGGGACCTTCCGTTAATTGAAGTACAACGCTAAATGACCTGCACATATATACATGAATACACTGAAGAATGCGCAAAATCAAATCTACGCTGACTCGTTCAAAATCAATTTTCGCCAAAAATCATACATGCCAAATATTATACATTTATTGTAGCTTTCCAAATCAATTTTTATCAATTTAAAATTTCTCGATCTAATCTTAGATCAATGTAGAGGAAATAAAATCTTGCATTCACCTGGAACGTCACGTGCAGGTCAATACAACATTGTATGTTTCTAACATAGTTGTATCTAAGCCAATAAGAGAGATTGAAATTATTCTATCATATAACAATAAACCTGATTCATCCATTTAATTTTGTCACAAAAATTTTAAAGCAATATGAGCTGCATTTTTGAGAATTTTATTTTGCTGGTAAAACGTATTATTATAATTAATTTGACGGTAATATAAACCCTTATGATCAATAATACCAAGATAAAGCACATTATTTTCAAGGTCCCGTCTCATATAGAAGACTGCTTGATTTTTAAAAACCTTTTGTGAAATATGACTTTAAAATTTGCTACTTTTTTGTGCCGTAACTTTCATTAGTGACGTCGAAGTGTACTAACTAAAATAGCACCCGCAAGTCGTACAGAAATTATTTTTTTTTTTTCAGATGGGATCTACATAACCTAGATTTATAAACTTTATGAACTTTAAATGTTTAAATGTTATTCAATGTACAATGACATTTTCCTTCTCTTGTATTATTGTAAGTATAATTCTAATTGGTCAATTTTCCATATCTGTAAAGAAAAAGTATCTAATTGTGTTGCTTCTTAAGACTTACTTACCATTTATCACTTACTGGCCAAAAGTTGTAATTCTCTTTATTCATTCTGCCTGTAATAAGAGAGAAAGTTAAACTCCAATGAACATCTCCATAGCATTCTGTGTGACGGTAGAATACCTGGCCAGAGACCACAATTTTCCATAACCGGAGAATGGTCTTCACAAGCGCTTAATCATACAATGTCACCGCTTTCATATGTTTGATCTTTTTCAAAAGGCTGGGTAAAAAATGCACTATTCCAAACTTACATATTTCCACATTTTTGTTTAAAAGTTCAAATATTGTTACATACTTAATATTTTGATGCATTATTCTCTGCTGCAGAGGAAATAAAGAATGTCTGTCTGTCTGTATATTGAAATTTTATTCTTTTTTTTTTTAAATGCAACATACTTACCAAATAGTTTTTAAATCCAGAGTCAAGTGAGTGCAATCAAATATTACTTCAAAGATTGTCTGATCCTAAAATTCCATTTTCAACATTATAGCTTTTTAAGGCATTAAAAGTATGACAACCTTACTTTGGAAACTGCATCTACCGACAGAATAAATGTTGATGTCAAGATGAACGGTTGGGCAGACAGATTGGCATGAAATTAAGAAGCGCTGTTCTCTTGTAGTCAATTTTTATGTGTATAAAAATTGAAACAATTTCAAAGCCTTTAGAATTATAGTGCAGTGATGTATATCCACATTGAGGCCTGCATACAGACAGACTTGATGTTAAACAAAACCATTGAAGTCTTCATTTAAAGGTAATATGAATCCAACAAGAAATATCAATTCTAAATTTTAAAAGTTAAAATTGTTATACTAGTGCAATATAAATTTCCCTGGTAATGTATAAAAGACTACACATTTATTTTTATCTGGTCATTACTATGATTTATTACCTTTCAGAATAACCCACCTAGAAAAGGTGGCCTTATAAGGTGGCACACGTGTATCCTAAACAGTATAATTCATGCTATTCAAGAACTCATAAATAAAGAAAATGTTTATCATATTTTTACGGTGTTTTTTTTTTCGTTCTCTTCTTCACTGAAAATATTGAACTTTTTTCAGATAAATAACATTTCTGTATATATATTGTCGTATTTATACTCAGAGTCTTTGAGGAAAATACCGATAAAAAACCAGTCAAGTTTTATTTCTTTAAAAGGTTTTTATTGTTAATTTTTGATGCGGGTGACAATATGAACCAATTGACGAAAATATATACAGTGAGACAACTTGTAAGGTCGTATTATAACTGCCAATAATATGTAAATAAAAAATAACAAGTACAGCTACAAAACACTTATATTTATTTTATTACATTTTTATTTTAAACAAAATTATCCATTCTGAAAATATGTGACAAAAATGAAGTTGAAATGCCATTAAATACTGTAAAATGTAAACCGAACATCATAAGATTAACAGGTAGTAACTTTAGTACATACAATTAAGGACACATAACATGTAAAGTGAAGAAAGTCAAAATCTATGAAATGTAAATAGGCTCAATATCAACCCCATTAACATATTTTTGTTAAAAATAAGCGCTACATGGTTCACATTTTATTCACTGTCTTACAGCGCACAATCTGTACATGTACTTAAAAGAGTTTTTTAAATATATTATTGCATTGCTTTGTAATTTTTCATTTTGATGCTTTAAATATTTCAAAAGTTGCTTTAAATAATCTACAAGCAAAAGGACATTGTGAATTAACTGCTCCATTTTGTTAAATTCCTCTTTGAAATACTAGTATGATGCACTTTGTACAACTCCTTAATATGATGAATATAAAGTTACACTGCACAAAGCATAAACAAAATCATTTATTTTTATTTTACAGCTATCTTCGTATGGTTTCTTTAAGATTTATGTTCCTTTAGTTAATTCTTTTCATGCATCTTTTTATTGTAAAATTTTTAAATACTCCAAGACTTGAATACTGCCGTCTGTGTATTGGCCTACTAGTAGTCTATGCCGCTCATCAATCGACAAAGCAGTAGGAAAGCTAATGTTTTTCAAAATGTATCGTTGAAAAAATCCATCGGAATCGATCATATGTATCGCGTGATTAATATAGTCAGCAATAAGAATATTTCCCATACAGTCCGTAGCTAAGCCACGAGGTGTGAAAGACGTAAATTCTGTTTTATCGGACTTCCCTTTGTATACATTTTTCAAATTTCCCGCTGAATAGAACACAAACACCATGTGTTTTCCTTCGTCAGAGGTGCATATATCAGAGTTTATGTTTTCACAAACATATGAGGGCTTTGCGAGGCCATTTTCTGAGCCAAATGATTGCTTCACTTCACCTTTTGATGTATAGATACTTAAACGACCTATATTGTCGACCTCATTATGCTCAGCTACGATAATATCACCAGAATTTCTACAGGATAGACCTTTTGGTTTCCAAGAAACATCTACAGCAATTGTTTCTGTCGTGCCATTCTTTATAATGTGTACACCAGGTTTGTTATCCGAGGTGTAGAATATTGTTTTATCGTTAGCTTGTGAGAGATACTTTGGCTGATTTTGAACAGGTATTGACATAATTTCTTCCCCAGAGAAATCTAACGAACGGATTGTGAGACTCTTTTGAATTTTGTAAGTACCACACACGAGTATAGTATCATTCATTGTAACCATTACATCGAAAATATAGCTATAAACTGTGACAATCTTTTGCATTTGGTTTGCGTGTTCCAGTAATATTATGGCTTTGCTCTTTTTATTTTCATCTTTTCCTACATGCTTTTCCTCATGAAGTTTAGATGTTATGATTTTTTTGGATGAAGTCAACATTCCTAACAATTCTTCTAAATTGAAACAATCATTCTCAGATTGTTTCAACTCCGGGGGTATCCGTCCCATCAATTCCGGGCAGTGCTCAAAGGGATAATTCTTGACTTGGTACGCAGCTAAACATTCAGGGTCAGCCATTTGCCTAGAAATTTCAGATTTAGATTCTTCGATATTTTCAATGACTTTTTCCAATTTAGTTTTGTTGTCTGTTAGGCAGTCAAGGTGATCCATTTCCATGGCATCGATTTGCATTTTTAGTTTCTTAACTTTCGTCTCAACTTTCTTTTGTAAAGTTATACCAGCAATTTCGACTTCCTGTCGAATAGCTGAATACTTTTCTGGAACTTCAGAAATGGTTTGTTCATTTTCACTCAAAAGTTTCAAATACTTATTTCTGTATTCCATTTCAAGTTTCTGAAGCTCTTTTTCCATCACTGTCCTTTGAGAAGCGAAACGATCGGCAAGATACTCATAGTTATGTTCCCTGTGTTCGATTTTTGTGCAAATAGTACAGACTGGTTCACAACAATCTTTGCAAAATAATCTGCAGATTTCTCCTATGTGTTTCTCGCATCCTATTTTCGTAGATACCTGTCCAACAGAGTATGCAGATGCAAAATGATGAGGATTTGCCTTTTTGTGTTTTCCAAGGCAATTTTCACAAATACGTTTGTCACAACTACATAAAAAATCTACTTTTCTTTCAACGCAGTCCTCACAAGCAATAGCTATTTGACATTCTTTTGACTCCGCCATTTTTACTTTTAGATTGTAACCGGACCAAACAATTTTAAAGTCAAAATGTCTCAGATTGCATTTATATTACTTTGTAGTTTTACATGTCGTTAAGATTTCTATTTATATATGGTTTCTTATCTGTAAATTGAAGGAGCTGTAAATCTTCATAAATCCAAAAGAACAGACATTCATATATTTACTGACCGAAAAAAGAGAGAAACATTAAGCGCATGGCTCTTGTAAAAAATGTGCTCAAATGAACTATATCTGCCATTGGTAAATACCAGTTGATTGATTTATGCTTCGTACAGGGTATCTCTCTGCACGTAAATGATTTATCGCTTTCAATTCCATCGAGCTATTTCCGTTTATTGCAAACATCAAATTATTTTTTACATACAAAAGTACGTTATTTTTATTCAAATTGAGAATGTATATATATACTCATATTCTTCAAAAAGATTTTCAACTAAGCAATTTAGTAGAGAAGCGTTTTTTTTCTGTAGTCAAATTTTGTAAAATATAATAGCTAAAGCTTGTCATTAAACAAGTGTTGTTTAAGCTGTCGTAATCTTCTCAATGGCTAACCCAATTTCAGAAGCGATTCTTGATTTTTATCTTAACTCTGTGTAATTTATAGTCACCTATCAGTGAAACTGGAGGGCACTTTATGTTTCCCAAGTTTGTCAGTCCGTCCGTCCGTCTAGCTGACCCCATATCTGTCTGGCAGTCTGTCCAACTTGGTTTTCCGCAGTCGTCTTTTGTAGACGCTTGTAGATATTGAGATGATTTTTGGTATGCGAGTGTATCTCGATGAGTAACGGATCAAGTTTGAATGTCATTTTGCTTCATTGATTTTTGACAGAATTATGGCTTTTCTTATTTTCAAAATTGTTTAAAATCGGGTTCGTGCTGCGCTAAACTCCGAAGGTGAACATGGTAAATATGAAGCGAGAAGAAAAATCGTTAAAAAATTTAGTTGAACTTTTGTTTCTTTGTGGATGATTATTCAAGATTAAAGGCATGCACAAGCTAAAAATTTTAACATCAAGCAGGCCTACATGTTTGCATTTCATATAGTGACATCCTACAGAAAAAGGGGAACCCGGTAGAAAAAAAAATATGTTGCAAAAATCTCAGAAAGCTATTTACATATAACTTTCTGTCGTCACTAGAGAGAAAAGTCGCCTTTATTTCGGATGAGACATTACAAAACTATATGTCATATACATGTATTGGCGTTAACACGATGGATAATTTGAAATTTACTCATGCCTTGAGTTTGGTGTATGGAATTAAATACACGACCCTTCACTTGCAAACAGTGAAGTCTCTGTATGAAGAAAGTAGTCCCAAACTGGGACCTTTAACAACACATTCCAAGCAAGCAATTGTTTCAATTGCGATCTATTTTCAAAGACTTTGACTATATGACTTAACTGTGTGTATGCATTTATTTTTATTTTCTCTGCATTCATTTTACTATGACATGTAAAGCATGTAAGCCTCAACTTATGTCTATCAAATAATTATTCTTGAAAAACCAGTTAGACGATTAAAAATCACTAAGATATACTTTTAACTTGCAGTTGATGAAATTTCTATCCTGTCTCTTTGCGTGAAGAGAAATAATCAAAAAGTGCATGGCCATATAAATATCATTTAGTTGTGGATATATATTAGTAATACTAGTATCATTGCTGTGTAAAGGTAGAACTTGAAACCAATGAATTCCATATCCCGAGAAAGAATATTTTTGTTTAAAAAGTCCTTTTTCGTATATTGTCACCTCTATAACGATCATCCTAAGATATAGACTCTTTAACCTGGAGTTCTCAGATCCCGGGTCCTAGTCTCCGTGCTTAAGAATATCTGACGACGTGATATCAGATTCATACCCAAAACTCTCTGGCCATTAATTGTCATAATTCTTACCTCTGCTACATGTCACAACCATGATAATAGATTCTCTAACGGTCTGGGGAATCCTTGTTTCAAATATGACTTTTTGCCTTTTTCTTGTGACGTATTATGTTCTTTGAATGTGTTGCAGTGCACCGAAAACCTGCCTTTTGACTCTCAAAAGAAAACGATAACTCTAGGTACGGCTATATATATCAATAACATAATTAGGGAACATAATATTATAGAGACTGATATATAAAGAGAATGCAGAATACCAAACCACCCAAAAATGACACTGTCGCGTAAGCATTATTGATTTTCAGAGGTCTGTTTCTTAAATCATTTCCCAATCCAATTTTTTTTTTGTTTTTTTTTTTAAGACCATGTTTTGATTTTTATCTGTTAAAAGCTATACATTATTTCTTTTCGAAACTGTTTAAAAAACTAAACTCAAGTTGGGTATGTTTCATGTTTAGAATAAATAGAATGTATAGAATAAATGAAGAATTACTGCTTTTGCAATTCAACGTACATTTATTAGATATAAACTGTTGAGAATATTTTACAATTTAAGTACATTGGCAAGTCACGGTTATCCGGAGAACAAAAGTTTATATTATGGGTTTATTCACTTATAAAACTGGGATTGAAGCGCGGACGACCGTGCTGCTCTATACATATAAGTTTAAGTGTTGGTGTATGGGGATTGGGGTGGGAGTAGTTACTTAGAATTAAACGTTATCTAAACATTGAAAAGACTGCTAATCAGAATGTTCTTTCCGTTTATAAATCATGTGATACATAATATAATTACTTCCATAAAGTGAATCTGTAGAAATATAAACGTTTTTCACATCTAATATATATGGTTGCTTGTCATTTGCTATGGAAAAAAAAAGGAAAATCTCTGTTTTTAGAAGATCGAATTTTACTTCTCAGCTAAAAACGTACTCTGCAGTAATCGTGTTTTATATTATAAAATTGAAAAATAAAACATTTTTAGATATAGGTGATGCGTGTGTATTACATGAATTTATACTTTATACAGGTATTATTTACTTGCGGAATTGATCAAATTTTAAATAGTATCGTTTTTTGATAATTTTTATCCGACTTGAAGTTCGACTGTCGACTCCATCAATTAGACGCATGCCTTTGCACTCATATCGAAGCGGTTTGATGATCAAGACTCATTTTCATTGTTTACTTTATATATTTCCCGGGCGACAATTGGTGGTTACATCAATGTTTTCTTGTTGATTCTCTGTGAAAGGAAAACCAACAAAACGTAATTTATAGGGGTTAACAAAAGCACAAAGCATGTGCTTCCTTCAACAGGTAGAATCATCTCTACAGTAAGAGTGAAAAACGATGATTGTTTTGTTGTACATTGTGTTCAGGGACAATCAGTAAACAGGGGTCAACAGACCTTTATTTTACGTACATGTATATATTGCTGGGAAGAACAATCACAAGCTATGACAGATGCCGAGAAACTGAATGAGGTCGTGCGAAGGAAGCACCATTTACATGTAGTAACTGTAAACAAATATAAAACAAATCTATGCCAATATTTTTATGATTTTTTTTTCAATTTAGTAAATAACTTAACATAAACCGTCATACAGTCTTTACCATTATCAATACGATTCTAAAGGAAGTAACTAACAAATAAAATAAGTAAATAATAAACAATATTTGTAGATATGTGTCATGTTTCTATATTTGTGTTTTCAGTCATGATATGTCGATATGATTGGAAATGAGGATTTAATAATTATATTTTATGATGTATAAACCTTTTAAAATAACTGGATTTTGGAAAATGTTTATGGTAAAAAAAGTCCTTTTAACGACATTTTACATAGGAAATGCATTGAGAATTGTAAAAACCATTGATTTGACAAAATCTAATAAGGGAGGGTTACAACTGTTCAAGGGTTATTGAAATATATCTATACAAAAGAAAGGAACCTTGCAAATGTCCTTTTAACAGAGTGTGTTTTTTTTTTATCTGTTTTCAATCAAAAAGAAATAAGACTTTGTTGTTCCCACGATCAGTATACTTCAATTTCAATGTTTTGCCTTATTTACATACGCAGTTTGGATTAAAAAATCTGTATAAACATATGTTAACTTAATAACTGTATTTCCATGTTCATTCTAAATATTATTTACCCCCTCTTCCAGCATATGAAAATGGTAAAATATTTTTACAAACCTGGAATGAACCTAAAATTGACATAATTTTCTAGGCATTCTACTTATAATTTTTTATGTTTCGAAAGCCATTTTAATGTTTAAAAAATGGCAAAATTAAATATAATTTATAATATACGTCATCGGTAACCTATCGCAATGAAAACTGTGGTGAAAAAAAAAACTTAAATTGCTAATATTTAGCAAAATACATTTGATATCTTGTCTTCGCCTTATTTTTGTATAGATTATCCCTGGTTTACTGTTATTTGTAGGTGCTGATATCATTTTCTCTTCTTTATGTGACATTTGTCTTTCCTTCGACACTATTTCACAAGTTGGTTCCATTCAAAATTCAAGCGTTAATGGTTCTGTCTCTTCGTAAGTGTGGGGAGGGTTAAAGGATTCAGATACTCATGTTTTTAATCTTTGATAACATGTATTCTTGAAGCCTAAAATCTAGTTCGCAGAGATTTATGCCATTCCGTGCAAATGCAGTGTATAATTCATATTGGCATTGTGTTCTTGAATGCAGTGTAAGCTACCTTTGTGCAGCTCTCTTAAAGGAAGTCTTTCTAAATTATTCATTTTTAATTTATTTCGTGATTTAAAGGGTATGTAATTAAATGTTAGGTATTTCGAGTAGATAATTAATTCTTAGGAAACATGTATCTTTATTAAAGATCTAAGTTGTATTAGTTTAATACTAGGGTTAAAGCCCGAGTTCTACTTTAAAAGATATCCCCCGAGATTACGTTTGATTGAGGTCATAGTTGAAAAATTGGAATGAATATTATCGATTTACACTGCTAAAGTAATTTTTGGTGTGATTTTAAATTGTTTTATGCCGTTGAATAATATTTGCTGGTTCAAGTATTTAATACACAAAATAGTTTTATTCACATTACAATGTTCAAGTATAATTAAACATTCGAATTTTGGTCTGAAGAATCAAGAAGATGTTACTAATGTTAAACTTTATTTAAAGTTTGAACATGCAAACAGAGTAAAATAAATCCAGAAAGGTTGCCCTTTCACTGTTGTCTGTCCGATTATATAATTTTCCCTTCATTTTTTTCATGATTCTTTTGAATTATGAAGGATTTAAATACTCCACTACTTGAATGCTGGCGTCTACATATTGTCCCACTAAGAGTCTTCTTCTCTCATCTATTGATAACGCAGTAGGAAAATTGATTTCTTTCATAATATATCTCAAAAAATATCCTTCAGAATCAATCACATGTATTGCATGATTAATATAGTCTGCAATAAGGATGTTATCCATGAAATCCGTAGCTAGGCCCCTAGGCGTGAAATACTTAAATCTTTTTTTCCCTTTATACATAAATTTCAGCTCACCCGCTGAAGAGAAAACAAAAAGCATTTGTCTTCCTTCATCCGAGGTGCAGATATCCGAATAACTATTGACACAAACATATGTAGAATTTACGAGTTCATGATGTGAGCCACTGATACCAATGATTTTCCTCCTCTCTTAATTTGATGAATAGACACTCAATCGACCAAGTTTTGTCATTTCGTTATGCTCAGCTACGATTATATCATCAGAACAGCAGGAAAGGCCCCTTGCCTTCCAAGAATTATCTGAGATTATTGTCTCAATAGTTCCATTTTTAACTCTTTGTACACCTTGTTGGCTTTCTGATGTATAAAAAATCGTTTCATCGTCAGCTTGTGTGATGTAGTTTGGTTCTTTTTGAATGGGGATTGCCATGACTTCTTTCCCATCGAAATTCAATGCACGAATTGTGAAACTCTTTTTGATTCTGTAAGTACCACAGACAAGGATTTGATTTTGACGTGTATACAAAAGATCAAATATATATCCATAAACTGTAGCAATAGTCTGTACGTGTTTTGTACCCTTAAGCAGTTTTTCCAATTTTCTGTAAGGCGTTTGTTCTTGAAGATTCGATACTATGGCCTTTGTGGATGGAATCAAAGTTCCTAAGAATTTTGAACAGTTGAATTCTGACTCAGATCGTTGGAAAACAGGTAGCATTTTCTCAAAAAGTTTAGGACAGTTTTGAAAGGGATATGACTTAGCTTGGTATAAAGCTAACTTTTTAGGGTCTGCAATTTACAAAAAAAGTTGAGATTTGCATTCTTCGATATCAGCAATGGCTTTCTCTAGATTCGATTTGTTGTCTCTTAAATAGTCCAGATGTTCCATTTCTATAGATTCGATTTGCATTTTTAGTTTCTTGACTGTTACCTCGACTTTATTCTGTAAGATTGTTCCAGCCAGCTCTACATCTTTTCTTATGGCTGCATATATTTCAGGAACTGTAGATAATTTTTGTTCATTGTCACTTGCAAGTTTCATGTAAGTACTTTTGAATTCCATTTCGAGTTTCAGAAGTTTCTCTTCAATCATGTTTTTCTGAGACAAAAAGCGATCTTCCATGGATGAGAAAGAATATCCTTTATGTTTGGTAAAGGAGCAAACATAACAGATCAGTGCACAGCAAGTTTTACAGAATAATTCGCAGATATTTCCAATATGTTTATCGCATACTAATTTGGGTGAAGCCTTTGTCTCTTGGTACGAAAAAGCAAATGGTTGGGATGTTTTTATGCTTTCTGAGGCACTTTTCACAGATATTTTTGCCGCAGCTACAAGAGAAATCCACATTGTTTTCCTCACAGTATTCACAAACAACGGCTATTTGACATTCTTGTGTCGACTCCATTTCTCTTAGATATTTTTGAAGGATAAGCAAGTGCTTATTTATCATTATGAAAAGTTTGAAAATTATGCGACAATGACTTCTCCGACATAGGCTCTACCATAGCACAATTCCACGCAAAATAATATTTTCAAAATTGCAGCTCGAATTGCTTTAATCCAAATAACAGATACAGCATAACGGAATAAAAGGATTTTATTTCAGGATATAACACATTTTTAAAAGAAACAAACAAAATCAATTTCCTGTTTATTGCCAGTTTTATTTATAAAACCGGTTCTACTATAGCGCCTTTGAATAGGTCAACCTAAACCACGTGTCTTGAATGTAAATCACAATAACAATAGAAGGGATACATCAGTGCTTCACTTTATGCTGCTGGCTAGAAAAAAGGGGCGTCATATTTCTGTCCTTCATGACTATCAGTTTCAAGCTACATGTGTTTGGATTTAGAATAGCATTCTAGAATGTTTAAGCACACTCTACACTACTGGACGAAAAAAGTGCTGAGAATCCCAAATTTTACTGATAAAGTTTGATAATTACTGATACTGTGCTGTTGATGCTGATAAATACTGATATTTACTGTTATTATGTTCCCCAAACGAAGTTGGGGAACATATTGTTTTTACTCTGTTTCTTATTATTATTATTATTATTATTAGGGTCTTCCGTCTTCAGCGGAAGACCCTTCTATTATTCTTCGGTTTCTTTTTTACCTTTATTATTATTATTATTATTATTATTTTTATTCTTTTTTCTTCTTACAAAATTTGTGCAGACGATTTCTCAGATATGTTTCGTTCGATTTGCTTCAAATTTTCACAGTCGATGCGTTGTGATCTGAAGTTAATTCTGGCAAATTATTTTTTGGAAATTCACTTCCGGTCGGGAGTTATCGCCCTTTGATCGAAATTTAGAGGACCTCCTTGTCTGTGATGGAACTCAAAAACGGTTCAAGCTAGAAAGCTGAAATTTTGAGGGATGGTAGAGGACATGTTGCCATATTGCACCTGGGTCAGGATATTTTCCGGAAGTGCCTAGTATGGAAGCTCGGTAGGGGTCAAAATTTAGGACACGTTTTATGAGTGATTTTTTGAGACATTTTCTATCATATCTTTTAAAATATAAATATTTTGTTAAAATATACTGTACAACATTTGTGCAAAATATCAAGATCTTCAATATGATATCAAGAAAAATGTGCTGACTCATCAGATTAAGGGCTGAAAGGGGCCAACAGTTTTTATTTGATAACTCTTTTAAAGTCAATATTTTGTTATACATTACTGAAGCAAAGATCTTTATCTCAACCGTCTACAACTATATATTATGATTTTTATGTCGTATGGTACATAATTAAGGGCCACAAGGGGCCAGAATGCTAAATCTTTGATGCTTTATATCTCGAAAGGGAGAGATAATTTGATAAGCAATATTGAACAAAAGTTGTTCAAAATCATGTTCTAAACAATATGCAACCTTTCATTTTTTGCTAAACGTCCCCGTTAAGGAGTTGAAGGGTTGGCCCCTAATTATATCTTTTGCTTTTAGCTCAAAAACGAATAAGAATTTCTGAACAGTTGTTGAACAAAAAATGTTCAAAATCTTAAGATCTTTAAGATGAGACCCCGAAAAAGGAAATGGGCACTCGAATTAGGGGCCAAGAGGGGCAAAAAGTCTTCAATCGATAACTCTTTATCAGTTAATATTTTGTAATACATTACTGAAGCAAATATCTTTATCTCAACCGTCTACAACTATATATTATGGTTTTTATGTCGTATGGTACATAATTAGGGGCCACAAGGGGCCAGAATGCTAAATCTTTGACGCTTTATATCTCGAAAGGGAGAGATAATTTGATAAGCAATATTGAACAAAAGTTGTTCAAAATCATGTTCTAAACTATATGCAACCTTTTATTTTTTGCTAAACGTCCCCGTTAAGGAGTTGAAGGGTTGGCCCCTAATTATTACTTTTGATTTTAGCTCAAAAACGAATAAGAATTTCTGAACAGTTGTTGAACAAAAAATGTTCAAAATCTTAAGATCTTTAAGATGAAACCCGGAAAAAGGGGCTGTGCACTCGAATTAGGGGCCAAGAGGGGCCAAAAGTCTTCAATCGATAACTCTTTATCAGTTAATATTTTGTAATACATTACTGAAGCAAATATCTTTATCTCAACCATCTACAACGATATATTATGGTTTTTATGTCGTATGGTACATAATTAGGGGCCACAAGGGGCCAGAATGCTAAATCTTTGATGCTTTATATCTCGAAAGGGAGAAATATTTTGATAAGCAATATTGAACAAAAGTTGTTTAAAATAATGTTCTGAACAGTATGCAACCTTTCATTTTTTGCTAAACGTCCCCGTTAAGGAGTTGAAGGGTTGGCCCCTAATTATATCTTTTGCTTTTAGCTCAAAAACGAATAAGAATTTCTGAACAGTTGTTGATCAAAAACTGTTCAAAATCGTAAGATCTTTAAGATGAAACTCCGAAAAAGGGGCTAGGCACTCGAATTAGGGGCCAAGAGGGGACAAAATTCTTCAATCGATAGCTCGTTATCAGTTAATATTTTGTAATACATTACTAAAGCAAAGATCTTTATTTCTACCGTTTACAACTATATATTATGGTCTTTATGTCGTATGGTACATAATTAAGGGCCACAAGGGGCCAGAATGCTAAATCTTTAATGCTTTATATCTCGAAGGGGGGAAATATTTTGATAAGCAATATTAAACAAAAGTTGTTCAAAATCATATTCTAAACAATATGCGATCTTTCATTTTTTGCTAAACGTCCCCGTTAAGGAGTTGAAGGATTGGCCCCTAATTATATCTTTTGCTTATAGCTCAAAAACGAAAAAGAATTTCTGAACAGTTGTTGAACAAAAAATATTCAAAATCTTAAGATCTTTCAGATGAGACCCCGAAAAAGGGAATTGGCACTCGAATTAGGGGCCAAGAGGGGCCAAAAGTCTTCAATCGATAGCTCTTTATCAGTTAATATTTTGTAATACATTACTGAAGCAAAGATCTATATCTCTACTATCTACAACTATATATTATGGTTTTTATGTCGTATGGTACATAATTAGGGGCCACAAGGGGTCAGAATGCTAAATCTTTTATGCTTTATATCTCGAAAGGGAGAAATATTTTGATAAGCAATATTGATCAAAAGTTGTTCAAAATAATGTTCTGAACCGTATGCAACCTTTCATTTTTTGCTAAACGTCCCCGTTAAGCAGTTGAAGGGTTGGCCCCTGATTATATCTTTTGCTTTTAGCTCAAAAACGAATAAGAATTTCTGAACAGTTGTTGAACAAAAAATGTTCAAAATCTTACGATCGTTAAGATGATATGAATAAAGAGGGCCGATTCCTAAAATAAGGGGCCGTTAGGGGCAAAAGGACGATTTTTTAAAGTCTTTAATGTTCAATGTCTTTTTACAGATTGTGGTAAATCATTATTTTAGAATGAAAATCGCAATCAAAATCTTATCTCATCTCATCAAGAATTGGACGGAAGACCCACTCGTTGCTCGCAACGAGATCTCATCTAGTTATAATTATTATTCTTTTTTCTTCTTATTTCTTCTCCGGTACTTTTTTGTCCGGAAGTGTTCTCAGAAACTGTTCACCCAACTAAGTTAAAACCTTTTTAGGGTTAGTAGGCATGTTGTGTAGATGTGCCGAACGAAGGTCATTTTGCGCGCATACGCATGCACGTGCGGGCGCGTGCAATGAGTAAACTGACTGATATATTTAATATGGTTGTAACTTTTATATTTTTTGATAAAATGTTTTGAAACTCATTATATAAAGATATATAAGTTGTGTAGATAAGATGACATGGTCAAATTTGCATGAACTCACGCGCATGCACGTGCGCTTTGCTCTGATTGGCTGAAACAGAAATCTCAATATCTTTTTTGTTTTATGATGAAATGCTTTGAAATTTCTAACATAGACATGCATTAGGATGTACTACAATATGATATATAAAATTTTTCATGAAATCACGCGCATGCACGTGCGCTGCAATCTGATTGGCTGAAACTTTAAATGAGTATAACCCCCTTGGTTTTCAACCAAACAGCATGGGATTTACAACTTAGATAGACATAAAGGACTCCTACAGGATGGTATGGTCACCATTCACATGCATGCATGTGCGTGCACGTGCGCTTTGCTCTGATTGGCTGAAACAAAAATCACAATATCTTTTCTGTTTTTTTACAAAATGCTTTGAAATTTAAAACATAAGCATACTTTAAGATGTCCTACAATATGATATATAATAATTGTCATGAAAATACGCGCATGCACGTGTGCTGCAATCTGATTGGCTTAAACTTTAAATGGCTACAACTCCCTTGTTTTTCAACCAAACAGGATGGGATTAAGAACATAGACAGACATAGTGGGCTCCTACAAGAAGGTATGGTCATCATGCACGTGCGTGCACGTGCAAATGAGTACAATAGTGTAGACAGATGATATTGTCATTACGCTCATGCAATCACGTGCACGTATGCATTGCTTAAATTTGAAATACTTGGTATACTTTTGGAAAAAAACGTTGTCTTAAATGCATAGATTTTGCCTTCTATAATGAAACTTACAGGGAATATGGCACGAGAAGGGAGTTGGGGAGCGTTTGGGGAACATCTGTAACGGTTCCCGTTACAATTAGCACTAGTTATTACTGTTGTTGCTGATATTTTTTGTTGTTTCTGATAAATACTGATAATTACTGTTGCCTTTTACTGTTGAGTCTGATAAATACTGATAAATACTGTTGAGGTACTGTCGTTGCTGAGAATTGCTGATAATTACTGTTGAGGTACTGTCGATGCTGAGATTTACTGATAATTACTGTGGTCATTGTTTTTAACCTGGTAATTGGTTTAAAATAAAACAGAGGGCT